GTGGCCTAATATGCTAATGAGTTGTGCTGTCAGGGGTGTGCCCTAATATGCTAATGAGTTCCTGCTGGGCTTTTTGTACAAAAAAGCCCTGTGCACAGCTATAGATAAGCAAGCGTTACAGCAGTGAAGAAGCACAGAAGGAATGCAGCGGTACTTTGTACACAGGTCACTGAAACCTCTGACCCCTCCCGCTACCATGGCAGCATAGCTGACACCATGGAGCTGCTGTTTTTCCCAGTGGGGAAACTTACATGTAGCTCATTGGCACATGTGGAGCCCTTCTGAATCTACAGCAGGTTCATGTGGTTGGAAAATAACATTAAGCCCCCTCTCCCCACATGCCACAGTCTCAATCCAAATCAGGCCACACACACCTGAACCTAAGTTCAACAAGGAACTCCCAGCATACATCTGCTTGACATAGGGCTGCCAATCTCCCTGTGGCACCTGGAGATTGCCTGCTATTACAATTGATTTCCAGACTATCAAGATCAGTTTCTCCAGAGGAAATGGCTGCTTTGGAGGGCGGACTCTAAGGCATCACATCCTGCCAAGGACCACCCCTCCCCAAATCCTGCTCTCCCCAGGAACACCCCCCCCAAACCTCCAAGTAATTCCCAACCCAAGCTGGCAACCCTAGCTTGACAGGACCCAGAGTGAACTCATATCTAGAGGCCCACAATCTTGAAGAGAAGGAAAAGGCTGTTCTGTCCACAACCTTTCTTACCCGAAGAATCCGAGAATGTCTAGCCTGTACTGAATTGATACAACTACCACATCTTCATATGCAGACAATGCTGATCCATCATATATAGAAGCTCCCCCCACCTTTAGCGCTCCTCCGTGGATCCAAACCATTACCTGGAGAGAGAGGAAAAAACAGACAAAAGGAGCTAGCTAGAACTCTATCTTCTGGTTTCAGACCCAATTTAAAAAACATAGCACTCTACTGATAAAATACACTCACTGAATATATACTGTTTTGCCTAACCACACAATTTAATTTTTAAAAGGATCCATATATGACTCAATATTAAATATCATTAAAAAACTGTATTCCATTTTATTTTCTAGGGGAACTGTTTTTGTGCCTAGTTTTTCTTATCAGGCAGCACAGGAACTTGAACCCAGAACCTGGGGCTAGCAGCTCCAAAGCCTTGTTCTGTTTGCCAGCTGAGCTGCCTGCCTTCAGGTAGGGCTGCTGACTGTCTCCTGAAGATGGCCAGCTAAAGTATACTCTGCCCAGGGGAATCTAATGCAAGCTTCTTGGATCAGCTGACTGAAGGATCCAATGAGACTTAGCCTGGCAGTATAAAGCTACAGCCTCCAGATTGGGCCATTCGGTCTGAGCAACTTGTCTGTGGTGTGAAGACTGTGTGTAGTCTGGTAATCCAGGTTCTTGCTAATTCAGTCTCCTTGACCAATGTTTTTCCTAGCCTTTTCCTCAACCATGAGATCTTCCTGCCCTCTTTGAAGCCTTGTCTTTTGGTTGCTACCACAATATATAGCTACTGCTTCTCCCTTGTTGCTATGCCCACCCCCTCTCCACCACTCAGTTACATTGGCACAGAAGTGCTGATGTGACAACAGTCCTCCCTTTCCCTTTTCTGAGCTGAGCCACACTTAAAGATATACCATGGTTCATCTGGGAACAAGAATATATAGGACTCCCCCCCCCCCCATTAGCTCTGCCATTTTGAAAATGGAGCTTAGTCTGTCTCCCTCCTTGGATAGGGTATCCAAATGGCAATCCATCCATAGCCACCCCTCATTTTCATCTTTGAATTGGATTAAGGAAGTTTTCCTTTGATCCAGTTTAAAGGAGAAAGCCCCAGGATACCCACCAGTCATGCTCAGAAGCAGGGCTATTTTTGGGCAGGAACGCACAGGAACGTAGTTCCGGCTGGCTCCTGAGTTGGCCATGCCCAGCAGGAACTCATTAGCATAATAGGCCACACCTAACAGCAGAGACTCATTAGGATTGGCTACATTAGGGGTGTGTGGCCTAACATTAGGGGTGTGTGGCCTAACATGCAAAGAAGTTCCTGCTACAAAAAAAGCCTAGGGTTTTGACAACAAAGTGAACAGAATAAGAAGCAAAAGGTGGGTGTGGTTGGATGACCACACTTCTGGTAACATGTGGCGTGTGGCCTAATATGCTAATGAGCTGTGCTGTTAGGGGTGTGGCCTAATATGCTAATGAATTTCTGCTGTTGGGTGTGGCCTGTTATGCTAATGAGTTCCTGCTGGGCTTTTTCTACAAAAAAGCCCTGCTCAGAAGGAATGAACATGATGTTATGTGGAAACACTTCCTGGGAAGAAGGCAAGCCTGAAGGGTGAATACAGCCACACACTCACTAAGGAAAGCCCAGGTGCTGACCAATGCTCCCTCTAAACTATGGAGTCCTGTGAGCAAAAACTCTACCTTATGAGTTCCTGGCATTAGAGCTGTGAGCGAGAGATTTGGCTACTGCATAAAATAGTTTGCTCTGGAGCCACCCTTCCTGAGCTAAGACAAAAATGTGTGAGCCGTAGGCTAAAAAACTGAGCACTAACTCACACTAACCCAGCTTAGAGGGAACATTGGTGCTGACCAGTCTTCCCCATTCTCCAGTGGAAAACTCTTTCGTTTGCAAAAACAAGCCCTTCCTTACAATGGCCCTGCCCACTTTCTGAAAAGCTTGTTAGCTGTCAAAGGAAGTATTGCCGGGTGCCATGGCAACCACAGGTGCCACACTGGGGAACCCTAGGCTATTGTGTTTGTATACAACATATATTTGTTGTTGTTGTTACTGCCCACTACAATATAAATATAGAAGAATTTTGCTTACAGGCAACTGGCCTTTTGTGTCTGGGGTGAAAATATTCAAATAGAGACAATCTTCAGACGTTGTCATGTCAAGAAATGTTGCATTCATCAATCTCTGAAACTCTTCATACCAACCAGAATCTTGCAGACACCTGAACAATAAAAAGTGAACAAGGGAGAGAGAAACAGTGAGAGCTGCCAGCAAAATATTTGAATCATCAGGACACTGGACCTTGGATAATTATACATTTTGGCATACCAAGGCTGGGTGTGTGTGTGACATTTTGTGTTTGTCTGCACTATAGATTTAAACTCATGGTCACTACCCTGGGAAGTAATTCCAGATGGACAGCTGTGTTAGTCTATAGCAGCAAAATAAAAACAGGAGGCCACTGATACCTTAAAGCAGGGGTGTCAAACCTACGGCCCGCGGGCCAGAACCAGGCCCACCCAGAACTTCAATCCAGCCCATGAGTGGGGCTCTCTTCTCTCCCTCACTCCACCCCATCCCCTGCCTGTACTCGCCCTTCTGAGCAAGACCTCCTTCCGAGTGCAGGGAGCAGAGGGCGGGGCTGCCAAACTTCCCAGCTTGCTTGGCCTTCGAGTGCGTTCCTCTCTGCCTCCCAACCTCCGTATTCCTCCTCACAGGTAGGGCCCCTGGGGCATCCTTCTGCTGTGATCCTTCTGCTTCTTCTTCTTGTTCGCTTTTAAAAATTGCTTTGCCAAATCCCACTATTCCCCCACTTTTCCATTTTAGGTAGGCATCTTTTTCTGGGGTGTGTGTGGAAGGTTTGCAACCAACCACAGTTAAAATATAGAATTTGACAAACTCAAGGAACTCCAGTTTTGCAGAGAAATATTACTTGTAACACACACACCCTCCTAACGTGAAGCTCCAGTGGAATATCATAGCTACCTGGCATTGCATTTTATGACACACGTAGCCTGGCCCGACAAAGTCCCATTTGTGTCAGATCTGGCCCTCATAACAAATGAGTTAATAAGTTCAACACCCCTGCATTAACTGATACAAAAATTACGTAAATAAATTACATCAATTCCCTTTCCGGGAACCCACCAAGTATTTTTAGAAAGTGGGCAGAGCCAGGGGGCTTTGCCAGGAAGATTTCTGACTGGCCAGAGGTGACGTAGGACGTAGGGCACGTTGGGGGCGTGGCCCAGATCTGGGCCACGCCCCCAACGTGCCCTACGTCCTGCATCACTTCAGGTGATGTTCTGGCGGCGCATCCGCAGCCAGCTCCCGGATCGAGCAAACGCTCCCCCGCCGGTGAGTGAATAAGATTTGGCAACCCTATCCCAGATACCAGTCCAACACACTAACCACTATACCACACTGGCCCTCACACAGCACACTGGCAGTGTCCGGTAAAATGGCGGGAGGCCTGACCTTCTGTTATCAGGCCTCTCTGTCCAAAGTTTTCCTGATGAGGTGCTTCATTTTAAGGAGCCTTTGTCTCAACAAAGGACAGAATCCTCAGCACATTACAGAATGGACAATTTCAGGAGATAAGGAAAGACACACGACCAGTGTGCTATGGTTAAATTATGCAATTCTATTAGATTATGTTTAAATCTGATTTAATTTCCCACATTTTAACTCACTGTGTTAGTTGCCATCCAAGACAAGGCAGCTAACAAATGAAGGCAGTGCAGAGAAGGCGAAAAACCTGCGTCCACCAGGCCACTCTGGGCGGGGTCGCTGGGAAAAATTCCTTCTCGGCTCCAATAGAGGCAACCCGCTCTTTAGCGGCCTGCACTGCCTGTTTAAAATTAGGGATGTGCATTAGGTTTGTAGCTAAATTAGAACCCAAATAATGCCGAAGAATAGATTCTTTTGAACTATGGTGCTGGAGAAGACTCTTGAGAGTCCCTTGGACTGCAAGGAGATCAAATCAATCAATCCTAAAAGAAATCAACCCACCAAATGAGAAGGGAGTACTCACTGGAGAAGACCCCGATGCTGGGAAAGACTGAAGGTAAAAGAAGACGGGGACGGCAAAGGATGAGATGGTTAGACAGTGTTATCGATGCAACAAACATGGAGTTGAGCAAACTCTGGAGCACGACGGAAGACAGGAGGGCCTGGCGTGATGCGGTCCATGGGGTTGCAAAGAGTCGGATTTGACTGTGCGACTGAACAACAACAATGCCTATATGGCATTATATGGGAAGGCCAAATACGCATATGCTTCTGCCTGACAGAGGGACTAGCAGACCAGGCCCCTCTGTCAGGCTCAAGTGCCCGAGATCCATCCCTTTCTCTCCCCTGGGGCAAAGGGAAGGGGGTTGGGGAGAGAAAGGGAACCCAGGTGCTTCTGCCTGACAGAGGGACTAGTGGGCCAGCACCTCTGTCAGGCAGAAGCACCTGAGATCCATTCCTTTCCCTCTCCCCCTCCCTTTGCCTCACATCCAAGCCAGGTGATGGGGGGGAAAGGGAAACCAGGCGCTTCTGCCTTACAGAGGTGCCAGAGCGCCAGCAGAAAGGGCCCTAATGTATCAGGAGGATACATCAGGAGAGTGGACTGGCTCGGGCCTCGCCGTCGGAGCCGGGGGATGGAGTGGAGG